TTTTGATACTCCACGGATGCAAAACGGTAGGTTTTTTTGCCACTGGATCAGGTCCACTGTACAACATTTCTTTAGAGTCTTCGCCAGTTCTGCTCCTCGTTTCAAGCGATTTTTTGTTGACCCGAACTGTCGTCGACCCAGTTCCTAGGGTCTTTATATTGTACTAGTCGCGACATAAAGTCCTGACACATTTGCACAGTGCATTTTGTTTTTCTTTCGGACCCGTCGCGGCAATTCCCCGTTTTTGCACTAGCGACATGCACTTTCGCGCGAATTTGCCACTTTTCTCGCGCGACACACGCGACAAAATGTGTCAGGACTTTATGTCGCGACTACTACTGAAAAATTCTTTGCTTATATCCTTTTGCTATTTGCAGCCATCTCAAAGAGGTTTAGTTGTATTTAAAATTTGAAATCGCGCGTTTTTAGAGTATTCAAAAGAATTTTTCTTGTCTAGGCATGGCTCCGGGCCGGGCTTCGCAAAATTTTACGGCCCGGGTCGGCCGACTAACTTTTCGGCCCGACCCCGGGCTTCGATTTTTAGGCCCGGCCCGGGCCGGCCCGGTTTTATTGAAATCAGGATTTTGCCCGGAAAAAAAGAAAAAATAAGCTTCTTCGACAGAATTTTTCATTTTTACGAACATAACGCTGATAGCGAACATAAAGTGACCTCATTTATTGATTCTTCTTTACCTTTTGCGAAAATTTACCACAATTTTCTTTTCATCTCCCACTTTCTTTCTCTTCAACTTAGTATAACAAATTTCCGGCCCGAACCGGGCCGGCCTTTCTAAATTTTCCAGGCCTGGGCTCGCGCCGGGCTTGGAGATTTAGACCCGGCCCAGCCCGGTTTGCAGCCATGCTTAGTCGGCGGAGAGACCGTTTTTCGTCAGAGACATTTGATGTCTTTTTTGAAAGTTACACCTCGATACAAAGCCCAAACATTTCTACAAAAAATTAGGGTTGTCACATCTTGCTGCAGCATAAAAAAGCCTGTCAAGAATCAGTTTGACCATTTTCGATCCATTTTTTGGCCTTACTTTTTTTCAAATTTTCAAATATTTTCATTTTCAAGACTTTTAAAATCCGCACAATGCGAAAAAATTATTAAACTTTTTTAATCAAATTGACCTCTAAAAAATCTCCCGTTTCCGACCTTGAGTTGCTAATTGATTTAATGGTGTTTTATCTCCAACCTGCGTCACCGAATCGGACCAGCGAACTTTGTGGGGAATAAAAACAAAAAAAAATAAACAGAGAAGTGGGAAGATTGATGCATGTAGAGCGATAAATACTCGCTTTCCAGAGGGTTTCTTGCATTCTATGATACATTAAATATCATGGAACCTTTTTTTCAAACCGTATTTTAAATTTTGTATGAAAAATTTTATTTTCTCCAAAAAATGGTTATCAGCTTATCAGAGCTATAAAAGAGCTAAAATAAGGTGAAAAAAGGTAAAAAAGACCCTTTTTTCCAGATAAAAATTGGTCGTTGATGTTGCTGTTTGGTTTTTCCTTTCACTAAAAGTAATTTAAAAGCGTTTGTCAACAAGTTTTATATGAAGAAATGAAATTTTTTGATGATTTTTGCAAGTTTTGTAAATATTTCGAGATTTTTTGATAAAATCATTTGTAAAAAGCTTAATTATCTTCTATTTTCTGTATGCCCATGCTCTGTAGCGTACTCACGGAGTTTTATTTTGTAGTTTTACCGGATATTTGTAAACTTTTTTTTTGAAAAACCCAATTTTTCTTCGATTTTTGTGGTTTTCCCTCTTTTTTTAGCCAAAAAAGAAATTCCATGCCTATATTTGTGTCTTGCATCGAAAAACACTTTATCTACAACATTTCCAATCGGGTTGCCAGGCGTCATCCCAACGTTTTTTTTGTTTTCCAACAGAATTTTTGATTTTATTGGCTGAAACGGCTCAAAATTGGTCAAAAAGATCAAAATTGAGCCAATGCAGGTCAAATCATACTGTAATTTTCTCTCAACATTTTTTTTAGAGCATTCCAAGGCAGTCTGAGCTTGCAAATCCCACGTATTTCTACGTCTATGATGATTTATGGAGAAAAACGTTAAATTTTATGCATTTTTATTTTTCAGCGGAAATTCAAAAATTTGAAGTGAGAACTTGCTGGATTACTGTATTTCGGGGTATTTACAGCAATTTTGTTTTTGGTGTGGTATAAATTTTTTGTAAAATACGGTCAATAAAAACAAAGTTGAGTTTTTTTGAAAATTTTTGAGATTTTTTGCGATTTTCCTTATTTTTCGCGATGAAATTGTAAATTTTGAAGCTGTATATGGATTCTACATTCAATTTTACATCTAATATCATGTTCATTGATCCTTGGCTTACCCAAAAATCCCGAAAAATCCATAAAAATCCATCACAATCTCATTTTTTTGAGATTTTTTGCGATTTTCAATATTTTTCTCGATGAAATTTGAAATTTTATTTACTGTGTCTGGATTCTACATTCAATTTTACATCTAGTACCACTTTGACCCATCCTTGGCTCTTCCAAAAATCGAGAAAAATCCATCAAAATTCATAAAAATCCCATTTTTTCAAGATTTTTTGTGAATTTCGGTATTTTAATGGTCGAAATTTGAAATTTTGATGCTATATTTGGATTCTACATGTAATTTTACATCTAGTATCATCTTTGCTAATTCTATGCTCAGCTAAAAATCCCGAAAAATCCATAAAAAATGAATAAACTTCCATTTTTTTAGATTTTTTGCGATTTTCGATATTTTGCTCGACGAAATCGACACTTTTGATGCTATATCTGGATTCTACAGCCAATTTTACATCCAATATCATCTTTGCTAATCCTATGCTCATCTAAAAATCTCAAAAAATCCATCAAAAACCCATTTTCCCTAACAATTTCTCTCTTTTTCCCGCAAAACCAAAGAAATTCCCTCATTTCTGTGTTCGAAGTGTCCGGTGGTGGATAATACTCGTCCTCATCTCTCGTTCGTCCCCTCTCTTGCTTCCTAAAAGCCTTTGGGCCGCTTCGCGGGCCGCTTTCTTTTCTTTTTTCGTTTTCTTCAAACAAATACTCTTCTTTTCGGGTTCCGGAAGAGTTTTCCCGGGACAGACGGTGTTCTAATTTGAGGCCGAGAGGTTTGATTGTTCTTGGGCTGAAGAATTTTTGGAATTTTGACGTTTTTAATCCGATTTTTTGCGGGAAAACGGAATTTTAGGTAGTTTTTGAGGGAAAAATTGAAGTTTAGGGTAATTTAGGGCAGTTTTGAGGGGAAATATGAATTAGAAAAGTTGCTAGATTCTAGTAGGAAGCTTTTTGTCCAAAAATTTTTCGGAACTTATTTTAATTTTTACGAAAAATTAGCATTTTTCGTCAAAATCTTGGATTTTTAGCCGAAAAAATAAAATTTTGGCTATTTTTTGGGATTTTTAAAAAGAAATATTGTTGCTAGTACCTTCTACCTTTCATTACACATCTTTATTTATCACAATCCATCAAAATTTCCTCTTTATTTTCGTCTAATTTGAGATTTTTGTCAAAAACATCCATTTTTGTTGGAAAAAGCTGGAAATTTTCAATTTTTTGCCTAATTTTTGGGGTTTTTTGGAAGAATAATTGTTATTATAACCTTCTAGGGTCTAGTATACATCTTTATTTATCACAATCCATAAAAATTTTACTTTAATTCTCCTGGAATTTCAAATTTTTTGTCAAAAACATCCAATTTTCCAAAAATTTTTCAAATTTTCCCCCGAAAAATCGCTAGTTTCCCCATAAAATTTTCTCAAATTACCTCTAAACTGCTGTAAAACAAGTTTTACAACCCAAACCCTCGAATTTACCCCCTAATTTTCCGGGTTGTAAACATTGACCCTCCGGGTTTTTGGACCAAATTCAATTTCCGGATGCCCTTTCTCTAACTCAAATTGACCTAGAACACATGACGTGTGAGGTTCTCTTCCCCAAAAAGCCCTCTTTTGCTTTGTTTTCACAACTATTTTTGAGATTTTTTGGTTAAAAAAAAGAAAGTTTTTGCACGGTGCGAGAAAAATGATTTTGACCGCACAGTGCGATTTCACAGTGCAGAAAATTATTTTTGGACTGCACAGTGCAGAAAATTATTTTTGTTTTTTGCACAGTGCAATTAAAAAAAAATTTTTTTTTTGATTATGAAACCCCTCAAAAATCAAAGTTTTTTTTTATTTTTCGGATCGCACCGTGCAAATTGGTTGATTTTTGGACTGCACAGTGCAAAATTTTTTTTTTGTATTGTTGCACAGTGCAATTAAAAATTTTTTTTTGAGTATGAAACTCCTCAAAAACCAAAAAAAAACATTTTTTTTCCCATCGCACCGTGCAAATTGGTTGATTTTTGGACTGCACAGTGCGGAAAATTATTTTTGTTTTTTGCACAGTGCAATTAAAAAAAAATTTTTTTAAGTGTAAAATTCCTCAAAAATCAAATTTTTTTTTTATTTTTTCGGATCGCACCGTGCAAATTGGTTGATTTTTGGACTGCACAGTGCAGAAATTTTTTTTTTGTTTTTTGCACAGTGGAATTAAAAAAAATTTTTTTTGATTATGAAACCCCTCAAAAATCAAATTTTTTAAAATTTTTTCGGATCGCACCGTGCAAATTGGTTGATTTTTCCCACTGCACAGTGCAGAAAATTATTTTTGTTTTTTGCACAGTGCAATTAAAAAAAAAATTTTTTTTAAGTGTAAAATTACTGAAAAATCAAAAAAAAAATTTTTTATTTTTTCCCATCGCACCGTGCAAATTGGTTGATTTTTCCACCGCACCGTGCAAAAAATTTTTTTTGTTTTTTGCACAGTGCAATTAAAAAAATTTTAATTTTCGGGTATCAAACTCCTAAAAAATCAAAAAAAGTTTTTTTTTTAATTTTTTTAATTTTTTTTCCGATTGCACCGTGCAATTTTTTTTGATTTTTCCTCCGCACCGTGCAAAAATTTTACTCTCAATTTTTTTGCAGAAGATGCTTATAACCTCAGTCCTCCGATGCGGCAACAGAGCAATAAAACTCCATGCATACACTGTACCAGCACTTTGGACCCAATCAAGACAGTCAACTTCGAGTGGGTTTGATGATTTTGAATTTTTCAAAATTTTTCAATTTTTTTCGAGAATTTCGTGAAATTTTTTGAAAACAGGCTTTGTATTTTAGACTCATACTTATCTTTCGGCTTATTACCGAGTAATAATGTCCAAATTTTTTTAAAAATCGGCTAAAATCATCATTTTTTCAAGTTTGTCTGCGTTTTTCCCTAGAAATTCGAGATTTTTTGTATTTTAGGATTTATAGAACCTTCCAAATTTGGCAAGGATCATTCTCTAACCTTATTAGGGACTTCTGGCTATTATTCTTCCAAAAAAATATGGATAAATCGGCCGAAATTCATAATTTTTTGAAAAATTTCCCATTTTTTCCCAAAAAAATCTCAATTTTTCGTATTTTAGTACAATTCAAGTGCATAAAGTTATTCGAGCCTCTCTGTAACATCTTGTTATTTATTACAGACCTATAATTCACAAGAATGGCCGTGAAATTCGACCAAAAATCTATATTTTTTCCCAATTTTTCTATTTTTTCCCAAAAAAATCTCAATTTTTCGTATTTTAGTATAATTCAAGTGCATAAAATTATTCAAGGCTCTTTGTAACATCTTAGTAAGTATTACAGACCTATAATTCACAAGAATGGCTATGAAATTCGACCAAAATCAACATTCTTTTCAAATTTTTTCCATTTTTTCCCAAAAAAATCTCAATTTTTCGTATTTTATTATAATTCAAGTGCATAAAATTATTCAAGGCTCTTTGTAACATCTTAGTATTTATTACAGACCTATAATTCACAAGAATGGCTATGAAATTCGACCAAAATCAATATTCTTTTCAAATTTTTCCATTTTTTCCCAAAAAAATCTCAATTTTTTGTATTTTAGTATAATTCAGGTGCATAAAATTATTCGAGCCTCTTTGTAAGGTCTTATTATTTATTACAGACCTATAATTCACAAGAATGGCTATGAAATTCGACCAAAGTCAATATTCTTTTCAAATTTTTTCCATTTTTTCCCAAAAAAATCTCAATTTTTTGTATTTTAGGTGTGATAAACCATCTGGACCATGTCCGCATCAAAGATATCAGCTCTGCTCGTCATTTATGCGACAATCTTTCCCATGACGAGAAGAAAATGTTGCGGCTGGCGTTGCAAGAAGCCCAAAACGCCTCCACAACGGTGGACCCCATCACTTCCGCTCAAATGAAACAAATCTTTACTTTCAACCTCCTCCCCTTTATTGGCTTCGGAATCTTGGATAACATGTTGATGATTTTGGCCGGGGAGTATATTGAGCACAGTTTGGGAGCGGTCTTCACCATCTCCACGATGGCCGCGGCAGCTTTGGGAAATATGGTCAGCGACGTTTTTGGAATGGGTCTGGCACATTATGTGGAGCTGTTTGTCATGAGAATGGGCTTTAAATTGCCGACTTTGACTACGGCTCAGGTAATTTTTTGTTAAAAAGTTGAAAATTGAAAAAAAATTTTTTTAATTTTTTGCACTGTGCGGTGAAATAAAATTTTTTTTGCACTGTGCAGTCAGAAAATTTTTTTTTGTAATTTTTTTTTATTTTGAGGGTTATTTTTCGAATTTTTTTTTCAGTAATTATTAGATTTCAGTCAAGACTGCACTGTGCGGTCAAAATCATTTTTAGTTTTTTCGCACCATGATTTTTTTTAATTTTTGCACATTTTTTACGGTCAGAAAATTTTTTTTTTGCACAGTGCAGTCAGAATTTTTTGTAGTTTTTTTTTATTTTGAGATTTATTTTTCGAAATTTTTTATTAGAAATTGCACAGTGCGCAATCGCAAAAATCGCCGCACTGTGAGGTCAAAATCATTTTTATTTTTTTTTCGCACCGTGCAAAAAAAAATTGTTTTTTTAATTTTGCACTGTGCGGTGAGAAAATTTTTTTTGATTTTGAGAAGATTTTGAGATTTTTCGAAATTTCTTAGAAGTTGCACAGTGCAGTCACAAAATTTTTCCGTCAATTCGCACTGTGCGGTCAAAATAATTGCTTTCGCACCGAGTATCTAAAAAAAACTTTTTTTGAGGAGTTTCATATTCAAAAAAAAAAATTTAACAGGGGAAGCACCCCAAGTGCGACGCTCAGATTTTGATGAAGCTTGGCACAGATTTACAATAATTTTTTCAAAGATATATGCGAGAATCCTGGCTCGCGCTTTGCAGAAACAACCGAGATTTTTAGATCGAAAGTCGGCCAAAATTTCGGAATTTTTGCCGAATTTCGGCACGAAAAGTTTCATGCCTATTTCTACCGTAAAGGATAATGTTTCTACAAAAAATAAAATTTTTCCGCACGAAACTGCCAAAGTTATGGCCAAAAAGCGTTTTTCTCTTTGACCGCTCTCCACGTTTAGCGTGCTCTCTCGGCGGCGCCTGCAAAGCGCGAGCTAAAACTTTCAGGAATTGATATTTAGTCTATACCCGATGTGTGTGCAAAATTTAAAGAAAATCCGAGCGTCGCACTTGGGGTACTTCCCTTGTAAGTTGCAACAAGACAAAAATAATTTTCTGCACTGTGCATTCCAAAAAAAAACTTTCCACCAAAAAATCAGTGATTTATCTTCAGCTGGAGTCGTCTAAAGCCCGTTTCACCGTGAACTTGGCGCGTGCGTGCGGTCTGTGCATCGGCTGCACCATCGGGATGTTCCCATTGCTCTTCTTCTAGAGTAATTTGTGACCTCATGTACAATATAATTCGATTTTTAATTAAAAAGCGTACTGAATAAATTCTATAAGCTTTTTATTCGAGCGAAAAATCAAGAAGGAAAATTGTCGACCAGTCGATGTTTGGCTCATGGATTGGCGGGCTTTGGCTGAGCCTCCGCTGGTTTCGGCTGGTTGGCGACCTGATCCTGAGCTGCGGCTGCTCTGAAAATCAATAAACAGATGGGAAGTGCTCAAATGCGACTTTCATGATACTCGTCGTGTCTTCTAAACAGACCATGGGTGAAAAATTTTGATTAAATTCCTAGTTATTTTACTGAATAGGGATATTGGCCAAAAATTTCTCGGCCTTTTCCTTTACTTCCTCAAAAAAAAGAAGATAATTGATTATATATCAGTCTGTCGGGAAAATAATGAGCACAATGTCCCTGCAGCGATTGCGTCGCTGAAGTGAAAAGCAACTTGATCTTGCCGCGACACAATTCATTTTCTCGGCAGCGATGTGATTGTCAATGCGACAGAGTGCTCATTATTTTCCCGACAGACTGATATTAGTATTTTCATAAAGTGCTTGGACATTTTTTCGCCTTTGCGCAGTGCATTTTGATTTTTTGTGCACGGTGCGGGCCGCGAAAAATGTCCATGCACTTTATGAAAATACTAACATCAGTCTGTCGGGAAAATAATGAGCACTCTGTCGCATTGAAAATCGTATCGCCGCCGAGAAAATGAAATGTGTCGCGGCAAAATCAAATTGCTTTTCATTGCAGCAACGCGATCGGCGCAACAACATTTCGCTCACAGCGAAAAACACTTTTTTGGCCGTAAAAAACTATAGAGCTATTACTATAAAAGCTCTATAGTTTTAAGGGTACCTACGAAGGCTGTGACGACTCATTTAGTTCCATACGGAGGCAATAAGTTTAGTTCCGGACATGTTTCATCGTATAAAGTGTAAAATCACAGGCTGCAGCCGTTTTTGAAGGGTAAGGTGGTACTGAAAAAAGAAGGTACCTCGCTAACTAAATCCACTGTCCCGGCATTGACAACGATGCATTGAGCGTGCACGCTAAATTTGGGCTAATTCCGACCAGTTTCCGCAAAGTTATAAGTTGTGGCCAAAATAAGGAACTTTTACCATTTTCTCGCTTTTTGTCAATTCTAATATCCAATCTCCCAAAAAAACTCTTCCAAAACTCCCTCAAAGCCTACTTGAGTCTTTCGCTGTTGAGTTCCTGGTCCTCGTTGAGTAGGCCGGTCTGTTTATTGCACGATTTGCTGACGTAGCCGCCCGCAACCTTGGGCTGGCCCTCCTCTGGTGGCGGAGGCGGCTTTTTGCCACATTCCACCATCGCCCAAAGAAATGTCGCCGTCATGCACAGTGCGATGAAACTGGAGGCAAACAACGACTGCAGGAACAGGACCGGGTCAACCTGAAAAATGGGGGGTGAAAAATTGGAAAAGTTGAGAGAAAAATAAGATTTTTTGAGGGAAAAAATAACTTTTCGACAGATTTTTTTTCGAAAAAGTCAAAAAATTTTTGGCAGTTTTTGAAATTTTTACGTACCAAAAATGAAAAATTTGGGTCTTTTCGAAATATTGGGGGTAGGAAAAAATCTTTCAAGAATTTTTTTTTATTTCGAGGACACTAAAAATTAGTCAAAAAAAAAATTTTTGCAAAATTTTGGAAATTTTTGATACAAAAATTCAAATTTTTGGCCGAAAAGACCCAAAAATGACCCAAAAGACCCAAAACTCAAGGACCAACAAAAACTTTTAGGCTATTTTTTCAAACTTCCCGATGACTTTTGAAAAAAAACATAATTGGAAATCGAGATTTTTTGCTGATTTCTCAAAAATTCCAACAAAAAATCGCGAAAATTGGGATTATTTCGGGAACAGAAGCCATTGAGAAAATTTCAGAGGGCTAATCAAAATTTCCAACAAAATTTTTAGTTAGTGGTATCAGTCTGTCGGGAAAATTATGAGCCCAATGTTTCTGCGCCAATCGCAATTTTGCCGCAACACAATTCATTTTCTTCTCGCCGGCGATGCGATTTTGCGACATAGCGCATTATTTCCCCGACAGACTGATCAAATCATTTTGCAAAATCCCCATGCCAAACTAAAAAAAAGTCCAGAAACTCACCTTTTCAACCATCGTAGCGCGACAAAATCAGGTGATCGGACCGCTCCTCGGACGTACTAATTATCCAAAATACACAAACTCGCATTTTTTTCATTTTGATTTTCGAAAAATTTGCATAAATTTCCAAAAAAAATCAAAAATTTGAATAATCAAAAACCAATTATTTTTTCCAAAAATTTATTTACACAATTTACGAGAGAGTAAAATATACAATCGAGTGGGGATAAATAACCGGTATAGACGTACAATATTCACCGTCGAAACGAACTGGGGGGCAATACTCGTGGGAAACGTGGGAAAAATGGCCAAATCCCCTGCGGGGATGCGAAAAAATCAAAAGAATTTTGAGAGAGTTTAGACCTGAGATGATGCAGTTTGATTATTTATCGGGAAAAGAGTCAAATTTGAAATTTTTAGCCAATTTTTCGACGAAAAATCGGGAAATTTTACGATTTTTCACGAAAATTTGATAAAAAGTTGGCTTTTTACATCGCAAACGGCGAGTATTTGATGGAGTGGGTCGAGTGGGAGGTCTGAATTTTAATTTTTTGATATCAGAATTTTTTTTACTACAGTAAAAATTGGGGAAAATTTCAAAAAATCCGAAAAAATGGCGAAAAATCCGATTTTTTCAAATTTTTTGGTCATTTATGCAAATTTTCGATTGAACCAAGGTCTTAGAATTTATTTTTATGTCATAGAGCGCCACTAGGAACTGGTTTGACATTGATTTGGCATCAAAATTTGGAAAAAAATATCATCACTTTAGTAGGACCCTAAAGTAATATCAAAGATGACGAAATTTCATATGTAACTATCAAAAAACAGTGGTCCAGGATATTCTAAACGTCCTTGAAATTACATTTACAGTTCTTATTTTTAAGATTTTTTTGGAAAATCTTTAAAAAATGACCAATTTTCCTTGTTTTTGTCAAAAAATCGCCGTTTTTTGGACATTTTTTGATTAAAACAAGGTAATTTAGCTCAATTTCCTCCGCCAAATCCCCCTCAACCCACCCCAAATCTCACTCTGCCTCAGCAGACGCTCAAATCAATTCAAATCAATGGCTGTGTGATGATGAGAGGCCGATCCGAGTCCGTGGATCTAGTTTCTTTCAGTTTTTTCTTCTCGCCGAAGCAATGGAAGTGCAACGTCAGCAAAGAAGGCACCAAAAACAGTCCGTGCAACAGTCCCAAGATGCCCACACACATCACCGTCTTCGCGAACGACCCAATCACGTACATTTGCACCGTAAACAGAGGCAACATACAGATCATGGTGCTGCTGGCGGCCTCGAAAGTCGGGCGGCCGACATGCGCAAACACGGCCGTTAACCGGTAAATTAGGTCTTTCTGGTCGGTCTTCAGGCCAAGACGAGCATCACTGCGCTCCTGTTTGAAGTAGTGATAGCAAATGTGGGCCGAGAAATCGACTGAGAAACCGATCGCCATCAGGACGTTGGTCATGGTGACTGGGTCCATGTCCTGGCCCCACCAGCCGAGCGCACCGATTAATGCTGAAATTTGGGATGGTTATACAGGGTGGTTCAGCAATTTACGGATTTTTTCGGATTTTCGGATTTTTTTTGATTCCATAGTATTCTACGCAAAATTCTATGACTTCTGAAGCCCACTTACAATTTACAATTATCGACCAGTCGAAAGTTATAAGCGATTTTCGAGATTTTTCGGAAATTTTCAGATTGAAGCGTGAAAAGGCAAGTTTGACTTTGAAGGGTCATAACCCGACGTAGGATTGATCATTTTTAATGATCTTTTTTTTAAACAAAATGGTAACTACTAAGGAATAAAATGAGCTATTGCTCATAAAAATTGAACAATCCTATAAAAAGTTATAAGCATGGGAAAAATGGGGTTTTTCTTGAATTTCAGAAAAAAATAAGGGAATTTTGGAGGTCAAAAGGATGTGAAGAATTGAGATTTTTTGTGACTTTTCAAGTGAAAAAATACAATTTTTTTAATTTTTGTCTAAAAAATAGTACTTTTTCACAAGGAAAATCCGTACCACCGTATTTTAAAAAGTAAAAAAATACCATTTTCTCAAAAAAAAAAAAAAAAAAAAAAAAAAAAATTGAAATTTAAAAAAATATCTTTCCTTCACTATTACCAACGTATTTTACACTCCAAGCAAACTTTTTTATCTTCCATTTTCCTCATTTCCCCCAAAATTCCCCAAAAACTTACAATAAGAAATGGAAAGCACCGATAAAGTGGCAATTCCCGTGTGTTTCAGCGATGGAATGATGACGAAACACACCACAACCATACAAACCAACGTCACCAAGACGGCTTTTATCATTTCGGGCTGAAAAAAAATATTTTTTAATTTTGCACAGTGCATAAATTTGGAAAAAAATTACTGCACTGTGCGATAAATTTTTGCTATTTTTTGGCTATATCTTTCACAATTTTTGAGCGAAAAAACTGATTTTGTGGGAAAATACTGTAGAATATATTAGAAAGAGATACTAAATTTTTTGATTCAAAAATTGAAAAAAAAAATTTTCGAAATTTTTAAAATTCCGATTCAAAAATCTCGATTATTTTTGCAAATTGTAGGCTAAAAATTTCGGATATACCTTACAAAACTGCGATATTAATTTTTGCCAAGTTTCATCAAAAAATCAAAAAATAAAAAAAATTGAAAAAATTCGAAAAAAATCAAAAAATTTACAATAAATTCTCAAAAAAAATCAGTGAAATTTTCTAAATATTTTTTTCGGCATTTTTTCATACCTATACGGTACATTTTTCAAAATTTTTTACTTACTTTAGCCGTTATGATCAAGTCAAAAATCGTTGCATCATAATCAAAGACCGACGCCTGGAACTGCGGATACGAGTCGATCAAACTTCTCATTTCATCGACAAAGAACGCTCTAGTGTGCCAATTCCTCTCTCCATGACATATGATCAAAAATACGAAGCTATCCACACGCACCGTGCCATCTTTGTCTTTATGATACAAAACAATGTTTTTATCTTCCATTAACCGCTCTTTCAAGAACTGCGGGACCAGCTGATAGGTCAGCGTGTCGTTCGGCAGCTTGGCTTTGTGGTATTTCATGTACTGACGGAGCCAGAGCTGCGTGTAGTTGCTGGGGTAGGTCTCATTCAGAGCTTCGATGGTCTCCACCATCTCGAAGAATTCCCCCAAGTCGGTTTCGTTGCGAATGTCCGGAGCGCGGTTGATGATTATCGACATTGGACCGTACTGGAAAGGGAGATCATTAGGGAAAATTCGAAAAAAATGAAAAAAATTTTTGTTTTCACTGTACAAAAAATCATGAAATTTACAAGGAAAGTACTTTTATGGGGGCTCCTACTTTTTGACGGGACATTCCTCAAAAAATGTGCTGATCAATGATATATAAATCTTAGCTGCCCATTTTAGGTTTTTAGGGGTGAAAATGCCCAAAAACTGGCTTAATTTCCCTACAAAAGGCGCGGGCATTCGAAACGATGAAAAGCGCAGTCGGTCTCTTCCTTCGGTGGAGAGCGGTGTGGCCGAGTGGTTAGTGCCGTAGTCTGGGAATCAAGAGGGAGGACGCCGCACGGGTTCGATTTCCCTTTTGGGCCGAATCAACTCTTTTTGAAGTTGAAGGTCGGAAAAATGAATTTTTGTGCCAATACTGATTTATTACGTCTTAGAAACTCAATAAACAACATTTTAAGCCAAAATAAAAATTGTAAACCTGTGAAAAATTAAGCGAAAAGGGGTTCATATAGGACTTTAAGTCAACTTCCGACTGAGGTTTCACCCCTAAAAACCTAAAATGGGCAGCTAGGATTTATATATTCTTGATCAGCACATTTTTCTGATTTTTTGAGATATGTCCCGTCAAAAAGTAGGAGCCCCCATAAAAGTACTTTCCTTGTTAAGTGAAAGAATACCATATCGTATTTTACCAATATCGAAATTTCGACGAGCCTGAGACGACAAGTATTAATAAAATCCGATTTTTGACAAATTTTGTCCATAGCACAGTGCAGAAAAAAAATTTTTTTTTACATATTGTAAATATGTAATAATTTTTTCGAAAGTTGTAAAATACGTTTAATTTACTTATACAAACACTCAAAATCCACTTTTTTGCACTGTAGAAAATATTTTTTTTTCAACTTGAAAAATGAAAAAAAAAATTTATTTCGCACAGTGCGGAGAAGTCTTCGGATGATAATTTTTATAAAAGATCACCACCTCGTATTTTACCAATATCAAAATGGAGAGAAGGATGTGAGGTCAGTTAAAACTATTTTTTGACAAATTCTGCCCTTAGCACAATGCAAAAAAATTTTTTTTGCAAACTGTAAACATGTATTATATTATTTTTTCGAAAGATGTAAAATACGTTGAACGTAGCTATATAAACATTCAAAATCGATTTTCCTGCACTTTGGAAAAAAATCTCTAACAACTTGCACAGTGCAGAGAAGTCTTCGGTGGATTAAATCTATATAAAGGATTACCATTACGTTACGTATTTTACCTATATCAAAATTGAGACAAGGATATGAGGTCAGGTAAAGCCATGTTTTTGAAAATGTTTTTCCAATGCACTGTGCAAAAAATCGAATTTTTTTCTATCCTGTGCGTGCTTATAATTTTTTCGAAAGTTGTAAAATACGCCGAAATTTGCTATGAGCATTCAAAATCGAAAAAATCTCAAGTTGTAGACTTAAATGAAAAAATTGACTTTGCACTGTGCAAAAAGGGAAAAATCAATTATGCATATTTAATTTTTTTGAAAGTTGTAAAATACGTTGAATAAGGCTATGAATACATTTGATATCGATTTTCTTGCACTGTAAAAAATTTCTCTTACAAGTTGTAAAACAAAATAAAATTGAAAAAAAATTTTGCCTTGCACTGTGCAAAAATTTGAAAAATCGATTTTGCACAGTGCAGCAGAGAAGTCTTCGGATAATGAAATTTCCTGCTGGTTTGTTCACTTCGCCGTATTTTACCAACATCAAAATTTAGACCGGCCTGCGAGGTCAAGTAAAATCCCATGCTGGATAAATTTTGCCCACTACAGAGTGAATAGAAGAAATTGTTTTATATTCTAAGCTTGTAATTTTTTTGAAAATTGTAAAATACGTTTACCACGGGGATGTTTACATTTGAGATCGATATTTTTTACTGTGGAAAAGATTTTTCTTGTAACTTTCAAGATACGCTATTACCAACGGCCAATTAAACTTTTAAGATTATTTTCTTTACACTGTGCAAAAATATTTTTTTTTTGTGAAAACGGTAAAATACGGTCCATGAACTTTTTAGTTTCCAAAAATCCCAAATTTCACTGTTCAATAGCAAGCCAAAAAAATTGCAAGTCCGCACAGTGCAATCAATTCAATGTTGATTTTCCCGCACTGTGCAACATTTTTTTTTTCATAAATTGGTAAAATACGGTGATCCGCGTATAACAGCTCTAAAATTTCATGAAAATCCAAAATTGCCTGATTTTCCTCTGCACAGTGCAAAGTTTTCCAATCTGCACAGTGCAGTCGAAAAAATTGTCGTTTGCACGGTGCGGCAAGGAAAATTTTTCCTTTTTCTGAATTAGTCATACAGCCTGAGGCTCAATCTATGTCTGCGTATACGATTTACTCCACTTACCTCTTTATACAACGTCTTAATCGGCCTCAAAGACTCCTGAAGGTGCGAGTCGAAGGGGAAAGTCTTTTCCGGCTCAAAATTCGGGTTCATATTGGCGATTCCGAAATACGCCCAAATCGACAGGCACACCAGGATCACAGTGAACAATCCTCGACCAACTTTCGAGACCAAAAACTGCGCGTATTTGAACCACCAGAGTTTCTCCAACGGCTCCTCGACCTTTTCCCTGGGGATTGGGCAAATCAAAACCAGGGTTGGTGCAAAGATTGTGAACTCCAAAATCAGATCCAAAGCCACGGCAATCGTCGTACACAGACAGAACGACATCATCGTGTAGGCGGGCGACAGAATCCCCACGCTGAAAGCGAGCGTGTTCGTGACGGAAGTGATCAAGATTGAAGGTCCGACGTCCGTAACAACTCGCTCGAGACGCTCGGCGGGAGTCGCATTCTTCTGAAATTTCAATTTTATTTGGGTTTTTGGGATGGGTGGAATTTCTTTTTGGTTAAAGTTCCTTATTTTGGCCACAACTTATAACTTTGCGGAAACTGGTCGGAATTAGCCCAAATTTAGCGTGCACGCTCAATTAATCGTTGTCAATGCCCGGACAGTGGATTTAGTTAGTGAAGTGCCTTCTTTTTTACGTACCATCTTACCCTTCAAAAACGGCTGCAGCCTGTGATTTTACACTTTATACGATGAAACATGTCCGGAACTAAACCTATTGCCTCCGTATGGAACTAAATGAGTCGTCACAGCCTTCGTAGGTACCCTTAAAACTATAGAGCTATTATAGTAATTCAGCGCCAGCTAGGTCGAAGCGTTTTTTTCCTAACTTTAGTGCCCAAGCTTGGGCGCAGTTCGCGGAGTACCTTTGTTGTGGCCAAAATAAGGAACTTTTTCCTTCTTTTTTTTTGCATTTTTTTGATTTTCCGCACAGTGCGAATTTTTGGATTTTTTGCACGGTGCAAAAAATTTTTTGAATTTTTGCACCGTGCAATTTTTTTAATTTTTTACGCACTGTGCAAATTACTCATTTTTTGAGATTTTTTTACCAAAGCGCAAATTTTTTTTTTGTTTTTGATTTTCCGCACAGTGCGAATTTTTGGATTTTTTGCACGGTGCAAAAAATTTTTTGAATTTTTGCACCGTGCAATTTTTTTAATTTTTTACGCACTGTGCAAATTACTCATTTTTTGAGATTTTTTTACCAAAGCGCAAATTTTTTTTTTGTTTTTGATTTTCCGCACAGTGCGAACTTTTAGATTTTTCGCACGGTGCAAAAAATTTTTGAATTTTTGCACCGTGCAATTTTTTGAATTTTTTACGCACTGTGCAAATTACTCATTTTTTGAGATTTTTTTACCAAAGCGCAAATTTTTTTTTGTTTTTGATTTTCCGCACAGTGCGAACTTTTAGATTTTTCGCACGGTGCAAAAAATTTTTGAATTTTTGCACCGTGCAATTTTTTTGAAATTTTTACGCACTGTGCAAATTACTCATTTTCTGAGATTTTTTTTACCAAAGCGCGAAATTTTTTGTTTGATTTTCTGCACTGTGCAGTTTTAATTTTTTTATTGCAATGTGCAAAAAAAATCCAAAATTTTTTTTTTGAATTTTTGCACTGTGCAATTTCCTTATTGTCAGAGATTCCTTTACCAAGGCTCAATTTTTTTTTCGATTTTCTTCACTGCGAAATTTTGTTCACTTTCTTAATTGCACTGTGCAAAATACAAAAAAAATTTTTTTAAATTTTTGCACAGTGCAATTTTTTGAAATTTCACGCACTGTGCAGATTCTTCATTGTCGGAAATTTTCCAACAAAGTTAAAAAATTCTTTTTTTTTATTTCCACATCGTGCAATTTTATTTATTTTTTTTAATTGCACTGTGCAAAATGCAAAAAAAATTTTAATTTCTGCACTGTGCAAAAAAAAAATTTTTTTTTAAATTTTTACGCACTGTGCAAATTGGTCACTGTCAGAAATTTTTCACCAAATGGCAAAAAAAAATGTTGTTTGATTTTCCGCACCGTGCAATCTTATTCAATTCTTTATTGCACAGTGCAACTTTTTTCGTTGCACTGTGCAAAAAAAATCCAAGAAAAAATTATTTTTTCTGAACAAAATTTTGAGCTCATTGACCTTTTGATGTCGTAAGAAGCGAAAAAAGCACGCCTGATCGCCCGCTTGATCTCTCAGAAACCACCAAGCGAAATTACGGTAGATCTCTCAGGAACCGAGTGAGATTACGGTAGGGCTCAAAGCATAAGTTATGAAATTCATGGTAAATGCGAATTAGGTTCGTGTCGAAAAAAACAAGTTTCTCTCTTTTCCTAGCGGCTCAGCGAGCAAATGAGATAATAATCTACCGTAGTGCAGAGGAGATCGAAAACACAACTATTATAGAAGTGTTTCTAACTTAAGTTTGTGCATAACGCGTGAAAAAAATCCGAAGGGAGACTGAATATGAACTGACTGAATATGAAGGACCGAATGTGAAGGACTGAATATGAACTGGGGTGCTGACTGAATATGAAGGACCGAATATGAACTGACTGAATATGAAGACCGGGTTTCTGTTACTGTTACCACCTAGGTCCCGATTAAGGACTCTTTTTGAAATTTTTTCGACTTATAACACCTTTAGACGTTAATCGTGTTGTTTTGGTGCCTCGTACCGCTTAAAAAAACATTTTTAACACTTGGTGCAAAATAGTACTACCTGGTACTATTTAGTACGAGGAGAAAATTTGGCCACTAATGATGTTGGTTTGGTGCTTAGTACAGCCCCCAAATAGACCAAACTTGCCAAATTTCATATTAAGTCAGTTCATATTCGGTCAGTTCATATTCAGTCCTTTTCATATTCAGTCCTTCATATTTAGTCCTTCATATTCAGTCAGGCACCCGAAAAAATCTACTAAAAGAAATGCCTTTTTTTTGTCTATAGTTGAGATTTTTGCTGATAAAAATTTACTTCTCGTTGGTATATTTTTCACAGCCAAAAAGAGGCAAATTTTTCAATTTTTCATCCAAAAACATTAAAAAATCGATTTTTTCGGTTAACAGGGGAAGTACTCCAAGTGCGACGCTTAGATTTCGATGAAACTTGGCACAAATTTAGAACAATTTTTTCTAAGGTATATGCGAGAATCCTAGGTCACGTTTTGCAGAAACAACCGAGATTTTTAGATCGAAAGTCGGCGAAAATTTAGGACTTTTTGCGGAATTTCGGCACGAAAAGTTTCATGCCTACTTCTACTGTAAAGGATAATGTTTCTACAAAAAATGAAATTTTTCCGCACAAAACTGCCAAAGTTACGGCCAAAAAGCGCTTTTCTCTGCCCGCTCTCCACGTTTGGCGTGCTCTCTCGGCGGCGAAAATCGTTCGATATCTCGGCGGCGCCCGCAAAGCGCGATCTAAAACTTTCAGGAATTGATATCTAGTATATACCCGACGTCTGTGCAAAATTTAAAGAAAATCTGAGCGTCGCACTTGGAGTACTTAGCTTGTAAAATATGTAAATAGAACCCTGAAAATTTAAAATTTGAAAAAATTCTCACGATCAGCTCTTACCATATGTTTCAACGCATCCCTCCACGAATGCAACAACAAAAACGCATCATCAACTCCAATACCCAAGATCAAGAACGGAGCAATGCTCATGACTCCATTGAAGGGCATTCCACTCCAGCCAATAATCGAAAAAGTCGTCAAGGTTGCCAATAATGGAGTGGAGATTGCTGCAGTCAACAGGACTAGAGCGTCTTTGAGATGGAAGTCTCGGAGGGAGATCAGCATGAATACGACCATTAGGAACTGAAATGGAAATATTAGAGGGGCAAAAAAATAAAAATTCTTGTTTTTTGCTTTTCACTGTGCATGATTTTTGATCAACGCACTGCAAAAAAAAATAGAAAAAATAATTGTGCAATTGAAAAAAAGTCTGAAAAAAGTTAGCTAAAAAAGTTGATAAAGGTTTTTTATCAACTTTTTTTTTTGCACAGTGCAAAAAAGTACTAAAAAAATCAGCACTGTGCACGAAAAATCGCAAAAAAATTGTTTTGTACAGTGAGAAGAAATATTGTTCGAGTCTCCTCGCACCGTGCAATAAAAAAGTATTGAAAAATTTGGCACCGTGCAACAAGTGAAAAATCTTTTAAAGAAGGTTTGTTAAAAATCCGCACAGTGCATCGCAAATAAGCTTTTTCTTTCTTCCTAGTGCAAAAACAAATCCTGAAAACGTCTTTATTGTGCTGGCCAAATAAAGAAAAGTCACTTCGCGCCGTGCAAAAAAAATTTCGCTTTTTTGCACAATGCGGCAATTCATATATTTAAAAAAATCACATTAGGGTTAAAACGGAAATTGTAACCCTAGACACCTTTTTCAAAACAAAAAAAAATTAAAATTACCAAAATTACTCATCCTAAATATTATTATTTTTGGCTAAAATAATGTCAGCATAAATCTACTTACAGCCCCAACCGACAATAAATTCGTTGTTTTCAGCGATCCCACCATCATTTCGTGGTTGGCCACTTCATCGGCGTACATGTAAAAGTCGAAAAGTTTTGAGAAATTTTTCTGCGACATCTCAAAAATCGACAACTCAATGTCATGGAGGACATCACGGCCAGCTCTGTTGGACAACGGAGCTTGCAACATGTACCAGAGACCAATCGATTGCACTGATTTTATCTGGCTGACTCGCTGAAAAGTGGGGATAAAAGTTAAATTCAAGTAAAAATAGAGGGAAATTTTGGTTGTAAAATACGAAAAGGGTCGAATAGAGTAATTCTAAATAATTTTTGTAGCGAAATTCGACAGAAAATGCAGTTTTAGAACAAAATTTTGAAAAATTTGGAAAAAATTTATGTTATCCATAAAATTTTGATGCCTAAAAATCGAAAAAAGTGTGATGAAATTGACTGAGATGCAGTTTAAAATACAAATAACCAACAACTGTAGCTGATTTTTACTATTTTTAATCAAAATTTGTCAAAAAATTTTCGAAATTTATATTATCCATGACATTTTGATGTCTGAAAGCGGCAAAAATTGTGATAAAGTCCACAAAAATTAATTTTAAAGTACGACTGTAGGGCAATTTGCCAACTTGTTACAAAAATTTCAAAAAATTTGTGAAAAAATTATATTATCCATGGCATTTTGATGTCTGAAATCGACAAAAAAGGCGATGAAATTTTCTAAAATGCATTTTAAAATACGAAAAAGCAATCGTTTTCCTTTACTGCCTAAAAAATCTAAAGTTTCGGAAAAAATTATATTATCCATGAGAGTTTGATGACAAAAACGGGCAATTTCGTTCAAACATAGGGTTCCAAAGCAAGTTAAAGTAATTTAATATACGGATTATGATCTTATGTTCTCATAAATATCACCTTCTTAATTAAAAAATCAAAAAATTCGAGAAAAATTATATTATCCATGAGGTCCGATGACTTCAAAAAAAATCTTTTGAAATTCCTCAAAATTACAAACGAAATGCAGACCTTTTGGTAGAAAAAGGTAAAATACGAGGTATGCGTCCGCTATACATATAAAAATTCTTACAGAAACATTGTCTTTTGGCCAAGTTTCAGCTCCGAAAAAGTGCTGCAATGTCAGGAATTCGTGCTCATAAATCCTTGCGAAAGGAGAATCCAGCCGAATCGAGTCGTCCATGGTCAAGTTCAGATGATAATTGAGGTTCTGGACATCGTATCCGAGCTGAAAAATTTGAAAAAATTTGATTTTTTTTCTATGAAAATTATATAATAATAGTTTCGGTGGACCCTAAGGTACTATCTTAAAATCATTTTTCAATTTTTTTTCAAACTTTGCTATTATAATTTGAATGACTCAAAAATCAACCCCTGAAAATTTTAGCTCACAATTTGCAGAGGCAGTCGAGATATTCGACGACTTTCTTTCGAGAGAGCACGTACAAAAGGGAAGGTTGATCAGAGAAAAAAATGGTTTTGGCCGTATTTTTGCGGATTTCGCGGGGAAAAAATGATTTTTTTTGGTAGAAACACTGTCATTATTTCAACGGCAATCTCAACATCCTTATATCAAAAGATTTTTTTTCGGTTTTTAAAAAAAATCGAACAAGTCCCAAAAAAGTCTAAAAATGTGGAAAAAAAGCTGCAAGATGCCCTACTACCCGGTTCGCAAAGTCGCTGGAGTGATTATCTCGACATAACTGGTATTTTAGAAACTTCTGAGCAAAATTTTTAAGTTTTAAAAAAATCAAAAAAAAAAAGAAAAAAAAAATTTTAATTTCAAAAAATAAAAAAAAAATTTTCCAAAATTCCCTGCACCCCCTAAAATATTCATTTATTAAATGTTTTTTCCGGCCTCAAAAGTTTTCGCCCCAAAACCCCAAATTTTAATTTCCACTCACCTTGAAGGCATCAAAAAGGAAGTTGATGCTCCCTCGTTTCGTGAACATGTCTTTGAACGAGAAATGAGTTCCATTTCTGGCCGTGACATTAGTCGCTTGAACAGCAGCGTCCAGTCGGACGACCTCTTCCAAAAGTTCGGAGGACATCTCCAGTTTTTTCTCTCCTCGGTTTTTACTTTCGATCAAGATAATGAGCAGCTCCATGTCTTCCATGGAGACGTTGTAGAAGTGTCCAAAGGCCTGGAATTTTTTTTTGAAAACGTTAATGTGGGATATAGCAGCAAGCTATAAGGTTTTCAAAAACAAAAAAATTGAAAAAAATTAAAAAAAATTCCAGGGTATAGACCATCTCCGAATTTTTTCAAATTTTGCCGAAATAACTCTAATGGGCCACAAAGTAATCCCTGAAATTTTTTGAGCATAATGTTCAAGTGCAATCGAGATATGCAACGACTTTTATCAGTCTGTCGGGAAAATAGTGAGTTCTCTGTCGCTCCGCCAATCGCGTCGCTGAAGCGAAAAGAAATTTGATTTTGCCGCGACACAATTCATTTTCTCCTTGACGATGCGATTTTCGATGCGACAGAGTGCTCATTATTTTCCCGACAGGCTGATCCATAATATGGAAAGATCGCGTAAAATGAGGAGAGCTGGTCGGAGAAAAAAAGAAAGAAGGTTTTTGGCTCGTATTTTTTGGAGGTTTTGCTGGGAAAAATGATTTTTTCGCGGAAATATTGCTCTATTCTGTTCTAAAAGCCCATATTTTTTTGATGTCCGAAGCCAAAGACTCGAGATTTTTTAAAAAATTTGAGCTAAAAATCTCGGTATTTTGTGAAAATTGATAGTAAAAAAGCATAAGTATAATATTTCCTGGCAAATTTCTATCCAAATCGCGGCCAAAAATCTGAAAAAACGGACCAAAAAATGTCAAGATACCCTGAAGAACTAAAAAAATTTTTTTTTTATTTCATGATTTTTGTAAAAAAAATCTGTTTTTTTATTCAAAATCAAAATTTCGCTCACCTTGAATTCATCCGTTGACCGTCCATTTCGATGCGCAAACCCGCGCCTCACGTCCGTCACGATTTGGACGGGTCTCAGGAGGAAGAACGAAAAGAAGGGGCATAGAACGGCGACTGTGCAGAGGATGGTGAGCACTGGTCGGCAGCCAAAATAGTACCCGAGACCACGCATCCTGCGGAGTCCTCTGGAGGTTTATTGGTCTGAAATTTAATATTTTTGGTTTTTGTTGGGAAAAATTGGAAAAAAATGAAAATTCGGAAAAAATTAAAAAAAAAAAAATTTTTTTTGCTCGGATAAATTCAGAAAAATAGGTAAAACTGTTTGATTTTTTATAATCCTAGAAAATTTTTAAAACGAAAAAATTAAAAAAAAAAAAAAAAAAATAAAAAAAAAATAAAAAAATCCGAAAATTTCAAAATTAAAAAAAGTGGTAAAATACGTTCCCTCGGATTATGACATAATTTTTTGACCTTTATTTTCACTGAAACCACTATTTTTATCACTTTTTACCCACGAAAAATCCCAAAAAATCAAAAAATCTCAATCCCAAGAACCAACACAAATAACCCCCAAAACGTTCAAGAAACACTTTACAATAACTTCCCCGTCGATTTTACGCCCTTGAACGCCATAAAACATAATTTATCCACCGAAAATCTTATTACAAAAAAATTGCGAAACTCAAAAAAAAAATCCAAAAAATGATTGAATTTCGAAAACGCAAGGTCAAAGAAAGGTGGACAGCGGTTCGGAATCTCGTTTTTTCTTTTATAAGGCGAGAAAATACAAGGCGGAATTAACTCAACGAACAGCGGCGATCAAGGTTATACTAAGGACAATTAGGCACTTGAAAGTTTGCGAAAATAATGAAAGAAGAAATCTACGAAATCTGGAGGTCGCTGGTTGTGGGGGGGAGTTGAGAAATCTACAGAATAGTTGGGAAAGCGGATTTCACAATTTGAAAAAAAAATTTTTTTTTGGCACAGGACATAACTTACGATTAGATTGTTTTGTTGTTTGTGCAATGCAAAATACATCGTAAAATGTTTTGGAAATAACACAGAAAACAGCAAAAACCGTATTTTACAACAATTTATTTTCATAAAGGTTCTTTTGAAATGTTCTCTTCAATCCTCGAAAAATCGAAAAAAAAATCGTGTGCACAGTGCAGAGATTAGAGAAATGCCTTTTGCACGGCGCAATAGTCGAAAATTTTGAATTCGTATCACGAAAACTTTTATTGGCTAAAATTTGTCCTGTAGGTCAATAAATCAAGTTTACTTTACAAAAGCTCCGCAGGCAATAATCGATTTTCTAAAATCCGCACAGTGCAATCTAATATCTTCAAAAAATCGAGTAGGTTATAACAAACCAAATTTTTTTTCGTTCTGAAGGCTCTCTAATACCGCTGTTTTTTTCAATTTCTAAACCACTCAGACCATATACCACTTCACTGTGCAAGAAATCAATTACTAAAAAAATTGCACTGTGCAGCCCAACAAATCAAAAAAATAGAGTTTTATGTTTATAAATCAGTTGTAAAATTGTTACAACTGACAAATCTCCCCACATGTAAGAAGAAGAAGGCAGAAAACTTAAAAAATACCATTTTTTACTTACAGCAACTACCACTTTATCCCCGGATTTACCCCATAAAAAATGAAAATAATAAAATTCCCCCTAGGGTATAACCTCTAAAGATACCTTCTATACGTCAATGAGCGAAAATCAAAGCCATTTTCCAGCTTTATATTACTATATATCGTAGTAAAAGTAACCTCTCAACACTGTAGTCGGCTGAGAGATTACTCGGAACTCATTAACCCCGCGCGCCCCGCGCAAAACGAAGTCTGTGACAGTCAAAGAAAAAGAAAGGACGATGGAGAGCAGGGCCGTGTCCCGAGATGATCAATGACCTCATTGACGAAAACATCCCGAAAAAAACTCATATTAAAACATGGAGCTTTTGATGAAGGCGATCGCTGAAAAGCAGATGATGAAAGGCTTAGCACTTTGGCGGATGAATCGGATTGGTAAGACTCAAAGGGCGAAAGCTGCAGTTTTGGAAGGGAATTTGGTACTAGGCGTGGCAAAAAGTGACCCGTCTGCACTTTATGAAAAATATTTTTTTCGGAATTATCTTACAGGGGAAGTACTCCAAGTGCGACGCTCAGAAACTTAATTTTCTTTAGATTTTGCACACACGTCGGGTATGGATTAAATATCAATTCCTGAAAGTTTTAGCTCGCGCTTTGCGGGCGTCGCCGAGATATCGAACGATTTTGAGAGAGCACGCTAAACGTGGAGAGCGGTCAGAGAGAAAAGCGCTTTTTGGCCATAACTTTGGCAGTTTCGAGCGGAAAAATTTGATTTTTTGTAGAAACATTATCCTTTACGGTTGAAATAGGCATGAAACTTTTCGTGCCGAAATTCGGCAAAAAGTCCGAAATTTTCGCCGTCTTTCGATCTAAAAATCTCGGTTGTTTCTCCAAAGCGCGAGCAAGGATTCTCGCCTTTATCTTAGAAAAAAATATTCTAAATTTGTGCCAAGTTTCATCAAAATCTCAGCGTCGCACTTGGAGTACTTCCCCTGTTAGTTTTTGTCAACAATTGCGACACTTCGTTTGGACAAAACTCAAAAGTAGGCGGGAAACATTTTTTTTCTATTTTGGGTTGCCGTGCCTTGTGGCAATGCCGACTGCGCGGTGCAAAAAACATGGAAGATTTTTTGACCCGTCTAGTCACCAAACTGCGTTGAAAAGGTGGAGCAAGGTGCCTGTAAATGGTACTACAAATGGTACTCTCAGATTTTAGCCAAGAATAGAGGCGGGCCCAAACTTTCGGCCAACCATTTTACGGGTAGCTAGAAGAAAACGAAAATTCTGCGGCCATGTTTAAAGGCATCCAGCATTTGCCTACAACAGGAAATTCAAACGATGGATTTGGCAGTAAGATGATGCGAATTAAGTTTTCTGTATAAATGGCTTAAATACCATGAGGTTAGAAAGGCATTTTTTCTATTTTTTAAAACATACTCCCTTAACTTTGAAAGCGGTTGATGAATTGAAAATAGTCATGTACTTATCAGTACTAGGTACTTGTCAATGCAGAATTTATATCATACTACGTAAATTACAAGAGGAAAATTGTGATTCTAATCGGAATCCCAAACCACAGGGAGCTGCAAAGCAACGATTCGGCAACTCTAAGTAAGGCGCAAAAAATCCCCATCATTTCCCCGACAAAATAAAAAAATTCTTCCGCCCTGCCAAAACACCAAACTTTCGCCTCACTCCCTATCGTCACCTTCAATCCTCACTTCATTTTGTGCAGGCAAACAAACTTCTGAATCCATCAAAGGTGACAATCCAGCCAAGAGATTCTAATCGCAGCACAAACTCCGTTCCCAAAAATTCTTTTTCTAAATTTACCGAACAAAACAAAAAAAGCGAAGAGTAACCAGCTGACCAAACGTCGCAGGGACGGCGAACAGCATAATTATTACACCGCCGCGTGTTGGGGTTGATTTATGAAATTGAAAAAATAACAAGATCATAGGACCGCAAGGTCAAGTATAATATCTTCTGGATCTTGGGGAAAGGTGTAAAAATAAACTGAAAAGGGAGTAAAAAATGTACGCTATATTATTTTTATGATTTATCTCGGGCCAAAAAATTGATGCATAGCCTCTAGGGTAGGTGTTATATCAGTTTGTCGGGAAAATAATGAGTGAAATGCCGCTGCGCCGATCGCTCGCTGAGGTGAAAAGCAATTTGATTTTGTCGCGACAATTCATTTTCTCGGTGGTGATGCGATTTTCGATGCGACAGAGTGCTCATTATTTTCTCGACAGACTGATATATGGACTGTCTCTGCAAAGCAACAGCTATAAGCAGAGATTGCCACGGCTCCGGAGCCGGCGGGAGCCAGAGCCGGAGCCGGAAATTTTGGGGTCGGCTCCGGCTCCCGAGCCCAAAGTCGGAGCCAGGCTTCCCAGCGGTCAGAAAAGTAAAAATTTCGTGATCTTGTTAAACCAAATTGCTTGAAAAAACACTGCGGAGGATGTGACTTGACTGCAAAAACGTTGGCTGTATGATCTCTGGCACTAATAACTTTTATTTTTGGAAAAATATTTTTAAAGAAACATTTTGCATAAGAGCCGGGATTCGGAGCCGGAGGCCTTTTTAAATTTTGCACGGAGCCAAGAGCCGGAGCCGGAGCTGCAAATTTGGCCTCGGCTCCGGCTCTGGGAGCTAAGAGCCGAAATTTTGACCGTGGCAATCTCTGGCTATAACTCAGACATTTCGAAGGTTATATGGCTATATTACGCATGCAAATCTTCTCCCTCAATTCTTGCATTACATTTAGTTTCGTGTTGACCTTTTTCCAAACAAACATTACTCCCCCAAAGACCACGAAAAAACCGTTACCGCGAACGTTTGAACTGTTCAACTAATCTTCTCTGCCTTCGAATCAATTTTTCTCTACATACGTAGCGGAGATTTGGTGAATTTTTGATCAAGATTAGCAGTCTACATGCAAGGACGTGTCTTTTGAACAGGATAAAATACGACGTCTTACAAGAGCGGTGAAATCACGTTATTCCCAAAGGATTTTCAAAAAAAAGATGAAAAAACCGAAAGCGAGGACGTCCAGATTTCGATTTTCTGATTTTAAATGCGACGTTATTCTCATTATTTTCCCGACAGATGATATTGCAATAAAAATGTTTTTCAGAAAATTTTCAAGAGGCTATTTAAAAAATTACTCGTCATAAAAAAGTTTGATGGAACCGAGATTATTTCTAGACCTAAGACTGACACTCGGCACCTTAAAAATGTGCTGTGCTGCGGTAGATTTCAGTCTGTCGGAAAAATAATGAGCACAATGTTGCTGAGTTGACCGCCTTGTGAAAAGTGAAAGGCAATTTTAGTTTATCGCGATACAATTAATTTCCTCGTTAGCAATGCGATTTTTAATGCGACAGAATGCTCATTATTTTCCCGACAGCCCGATATACCAATTTTTCAACGTAAAAATCACCAATACTCCGCTTGAAAACAAACCCCAAAGCCACAAACTCCAGCCCTCTCTCCCTCAAACCCCCAAACCCACCCTCAAAAACAATCAAAAAGTCGTTGATGACTTTATTTTTCGCACCTCAACAACTT